TTCAGCAGCTACAGGTGTCATCCGTTTTATGCCCCGACATCTAATATTGGGTGTAGCTCCTTTCAGTAGGTCTGTTATCAATTCGCAGAAACAGGGAGACCATGTGCTTATTTATTTTTTCATATTACACAGCCCAAACATTATCATTGAAATTGTCAAAATTTACCCAATTTCTCATTCTGGCCAGTAAGGACAGGTGATAAAAATCTTAAACAAATTTGAAGTGCAACTTTTAAACTATAACATAAATCATACTATCTTGTATTTTGTTTATGGAAATGGAATGAGGACTTTGACTGATTTTAACTTACAGTGACTCATAATCAATTAAACATTAGTTTATAATGATAATAGAATACAAAACAGATCTATATATAGACATTACTGTATTTTAGTAAGAATTCAATTGGTACCCCTGACATGAACTCATTGAAATATAATAGTAAAACTTTATACACCACAATAAATGTGATTCTAGGAATAGAAATGATTCCACATGTCGGTAATACTCCACCCCTTATACATAGAGGCACAAATACACATTATAATTTATTATAATTCATGGAAAATGATTCACAGGTGATCCTTAACTACACGTGTATTATAATTCATGGAGAATGGTTCACAGGTGATTCCTAACTACACATGTATTATAATTCATGGAGAATGGTTCACAGGTGATCCTTAACTACACATGTATTATAATTCATGGAGAATGGTTTATAGGTGATTCCTAACTACACTTGTAATAAAGTGAGAATGGAGAATGGTTTTATGGAGAATGGTTTATAGGTGATCTTAGTCCAAAACATCTCTGAACATGCGTTTTTGTAACATAATATTAAATTATCTTTCTGATGACTGTAAATCACAGTAACTTTCGTTTTGTTAGTTTCAAGTGACTCTGTGAACTTTTGGCTGTGCACACAATTTTAAAATCAGTTTCCTTAAAATAAATTTGATGGAACCAGATACATGACATAAATGGTGTAGGGAGAAAATGATGGTATGACTAAACTACAAAAATATTCATCTTTCCAAATATACCTGGGTTTTGCAGATCTGAAGTAGAATTATGGTAGCAAAAAATCACCTCCCTGTTTTTCTCCAAAAATTATTTTTCTGATACGACAGTCCCCAAAAATAATCTGCAACAGTTTCAATATAAATGGATGGATTGGGTAATTTATTTTTAATCAACTAACCCAAAGAGAATTTGAATTTTGAATTGTGCCCTTTTGTAAAGTGTTGATATAAATTTTGAGTAAATTAAGAGGGACAATGTGCTCTTCGCGCCTCTATGTCGTTCAAATCTTTACATGCCTTATCTTGCTTAGAAATTTATTGTTTGATTTGTGAAAGATTTTACATATATGAATTTTTAGAAAAAAGAAATTGAATGAAAATTGCATGTCAAGACTAATCCTAATAAAGACAATATAAACTTAAACTATATTACAGTAGATGTGATTGAGCATGTTGTCAGATTATTCTTGTCACCTCGAGTTTATATTGTATTCTTTATGAAAGTCGATACCATTTTTTCTCTCCAAGAAATTATAATATGCACAGCTTGTAGTTCTAGGTCAATACATTTTTCCAATATAACCTTATCATTTTATTTTTATCTTTTTTTAAAAATTTTATTGAAAATTAACTAATATTGCACATTTTTATAGAATATATAAAAGATATATCATTATAAAGAAATGTTTACTATTCTGATATATTCTATAATCTGTTTATAATAAATTATTTTATTATAAACATCAGGTGTGAGCATGCCCTAACTCGTCCTATTTATTTCAGCCGATCTCATTTTTCAAATTTTCAGGCAAGCTTTAGAGATTATAACTGATAGTTAAGTCATATAATGAACTATAGGGCTGCATGATTCTTGAAGTTGCGATTCAATACACTATACGATACTAATCCAATGATACGATTTATTGCTATAATTATCACAATTCATTTCTTAGAGAAGGCAAGAGATAGAATAGTAGAAATTTGTAAAATTACTAACAAGTTTGTCACTATTAAACACTTGAGAACATTTAAAAATAAGGAATTGTGAAAAAAAAATCTCAAATTTCAGTCAGAAATGAATTTTTGCAAATTTTGATGTGAAAATCATATTTGGAAAATGAAAACATGACACAATTTCTTCTGTGTTATTTGTTATTAAAGGGGTCTAAAAATTAATCATGCCGATACATCACAATTAATTTTATCAACGCAATGCATCGATAAGAAGGGAAGAATAAGAAGGGAAGAATCGTGGTTCATCAATTCATCGGTGAATCATTGCAGCCCTAACAAACTACTAATTGTTTATACTTTTAGAGTTATCATAAATTACTCACTATTAATATCAGTTTCATTTTCATTTCCTCAAAAAGATGTACAGGCAGCCATAAACTCAAGGGTAATAACTCAGTTATAGCATGCTTGTCCTATCTCATCAATAAATTAGTGTGCTTACCTTGTCTGTAAAACCATCAATTCAAATAGCTTAATTTTAGTGGAATAATCTCCTATCCCATGAATACATATTTTCTATTCATACTATACATATAGTATACAGACACGTATAAATAGTAGATATAAACTCAAGGGAAATAAACCAGTTATAAATAAATATGTGTCCCATGAAAACATCGGTGTCCTTACTTTTATCTCTGCACGTAACATACAATGCGAACTCGATTTAGCGGCCATCGCTTTGATATAATTCATAGCAAAAATAGACCAATTTCTCATCATTTTAATTTACCTGAACATTCCATTGAAGACCTACTTATCATGCCTATTGAATCAATTCCTGACACTGATCTTATCAAACCAAAAACCAAACGATTACAGAGGGAAAGCTACTGGATGGACCAACTCCAAACAGTGGCTCCAAATGGACTTAACATCCAGCATGATAATCAAATGATTCCATTTGTTGCCACCTTTAATCATACAGCTGCCAAAACCTCATCCATCGTCAAACAGTATTACAGTGAATTACAGAACAGATTTCCGAATGTATATACCAAACGACTTGTAATTGTATATAATAAGAGCAATAAAAACCTTAGTAATTTTCTGGTCCGTGGTAGACTCGATCCCATTGAATCCAATAATACTTGACCCCCCTCTCTATTTTCTAGCTCATTAAGTATAATATATTCTAATCCTTATATATAGATGTTTATCTTTTCAGAACCTATAAATACTCTTTTCTTTTAGAACTGGTAACAAGAAAACTTATTATTATAGACTTTTGTTTATTGTAGATTACTCGTGGCTGTTTTTTTAACTTAATACTAACTATGCTAACTTCACCTTATCTTGTAATGAACATTTATCTCTTTATTTGTGACCTTGGCCAGTGCTTTACATAGAAGTTTTTAGGAACTTCTTCACTCTTAATAATAACATTTACACAGACATAGACAAGTCATAAACCGAAGGGAAATAACTCAATTTTAGCAAAAATTTCTCATTCCATGTAATTTAATAAAGTTCATCTAAATTACGTCTGATAAAAAATCCTCATCAAGATATCTAGTATTATACATAGGGCCCTGTAGGCTTCAGCAAATGGACAAATTCACAAAAGAGGGAATTTAATATAGGAGTAAAAAATCAACAATTATATATGCCTATTATCATCTTACTGCCAGCTACACAATGCTATTCAGACTTAGTATTAATTAATATACAGTATTGGTTACCTCTGGGAAATATGGGACATACGACTTCCGAGATGGAAAATAGCATTCGTTACTTCAAATTTTGCTCGGAAGTCGTGTTTTCTATTGGAGAACTCAGGTAGCTAAAATTATTTCCTGTTCACGACATATGACATCATATGACCTATTAATGTTTGGCAACCAATCAGAATTATATAATGGACTCACATAATATAATTATTATACAAATAAAGTATATTTCTCTCTATGCACATGGGTCTGTACTGATTTTTTAAATGTGTCCCGAATAGAATCAAGTGATAATTACAATTACCTAGTAGGAAACTTCCCACTGCCAAGAGCTAACAAATACAGCATAAGTCACAAGTCTGTAATAATAAAAATCTGTACCAGCAAGACAATTTCGTTAATCAAAATCTCGTCCAAAGCATGGCAAAATCATGAGTAAAAATATTATAGTATTGGACTCTTCCAAAGAGCAGTACCACCAGATGTTTCAAAAAGAGTAAGCATGGTCTGCTTCAGGTGCAACACCCGCCACTACATCATGAGATATAATCAGATCAATATGCCTAAACAAACTAATCAACCAAGATGGAAGAAACAGATTTGCAATATTTATTTTATACTTTGTTTCCATGAGATGACAAACAAACCATAAAAAACCTGAATTCTGAATAATCATAGCCATGTGTAAATGACTATACCAACAACACATTTCCTGTTAAAAACTTAAAGAAATCAATCTATGAATAAAACTTATAGAAATATAGTTGTGTAATTAATTGCTATATCAGCTGATAGAGTTCAATTTGAATTTCACCCCTACACCTGATTCAAAGTTATTCAACAAAACTTATAGAACAAGTCAAGACTGTTGTCACCTCAGCATGTATTTATAGTTAGAATTAATTATATAAACTAATGCCTGTGTTGTATGCAACATTGTTGTACAATGTATCTAACTGTACAATATTTAACTGTATATTGTTTATAAATAACAACAATGTAGTAAATTGTATTTAATTGTGTGATTATTATAATATTTAATAACACAGGCATTTGTAGAATTGTACAGAGCCAAAAGAAAACTGTAAGTTTTATTTTTCCTTCAAAATAATGAGAATTTCCAGCTTCATTGATTAAGAAATAAACTTCAATAATACATACCTGTGAATAAAACATCACCTCCATCTAACGTGGCTTTAGCTTCTTTAATTTCTTGCACACTCAGCTTTAAGTCATGTTTTAAAACTTTACGAATTTCTCCAACCTATAATACCACAAATAAAAATCATTCAGTCATATTTATCCAAGTAAATATCCTCACATAATGTTGCTTCAGGTTTTAATCTCCTTGTTCTTAGGCCTAGGTGACTTTTACTCCAGTGTATTAAAATTGCAAGTGAAAACAATCCACTTATAACTTGTTTCTAACTGGTTTTACATAATGCTCTAAACAAACATCACATTCTTATTAAATAGTTTCAACAATAAACATTATGACACACTAAATGTATTTCAACTTTTCCTGTAACCTGCACTAAATGATCTATGAATACAATTATTTATAGTAAATAACCCTATTTATTTTAGGAGAAGACATTTAATCATTTACATAATTTTGACATAGTTATAACTAACATAATCTTTTAGTTTAAAAATTGTGTCACAATTCACAATATAAATATAAAAACAAAGTTTAAATATTTAATGGCGTGGCCGATTGGAATGTTACCAACTCAGCTCAATTCAGGTGTAATGAAATAAACTTTGAACTCTGTATAAAAATAGATTAATTGCCTGTGGCAAGCCGGCATTGTAAACGTTGCAAACATTAGAATCGCCATTTAAAAATTTGAATTTTAAGAAATATGAACTATTCTTACCTCTCCTTGTCTACTGGTGTGTCCAGGTCGGGCGATTAAGGCAGTGCCTCCGATACAAACAGCACAATCTTCTACAAAACAACAATCAGGGTAGTTTTCATCTTCTTGCAACTCGATCACGTTCACATCGCAGTTTTTAAGAATTTCTCGCAAATGGTCATACTCGGTCCTTGCTCGCTCCAAATCTATCGGCTTCTTGTTATCCGGTTTGATACATTTATAAGGAAAACTTGACGGAATACGACAAATAATCGCATAATTGTATTTGAAAGTTTCACCGTGCGCCATATTGGAAGTTATAGAGTGAAGTAGGTCAGGTGTGTGGGAGATGACACGAGTTATGTCCCTTACCTGGGTTGGGTCTCACTGATGTCATCTTAAATATTGTCACCTTAAAGTTATTTTAATAGGGTCACACAGGATATACTTGAGGTTGAAAAAAACACAGTCATTAATATTAACAAGGACTCATTAAAAAATATATAGATATTAAGAAAGATTAATGTAGAGTGTTATTGGCCCTCAGACATTTTTTCTTAATTTGAATAATGGTGATAGCCTTCCACTAAAGTATTGTTATATTCATGCCATCTTTTAAATTATTATACTGTTTTATATCTGTATATGCTGCTCACAAAAGGCGTCTATGTAATAAATCTTATGACTTATCTTGATATCAGAGCACTCCAACCCACAACTTTCTGTTGATGTATAGCAAGGAAATGGGGCTCAATATTTAAATTGGTATAAGGTTTTATAAGAGAATCTCTCTTAAAGAAGCACTGGCCTAGGTCACAAGTAGGGACTGTGGATTTCAGCATTGGAATACTTCAATTTGATAGAAAATTACCTACTTTGTTAGTCAGAATAATTTCCTTTGATTAAAGAGATTGTAAAGAGGTTTTATAAACTTTTTATGTATCAGGGGCACCATGCCAATTTTCATTCCGACGTCTGTGATTCTTGCAATTCCACGTAAACTTATGCTTTATGATGTCACTAATTGCAAATGGCCTTATGTGATACAGTAAATTTTGCAATTATATAGATATGCTGTCTGTAAGCAATGCTTTTTAAAACATGCTATTATAGCTTTAAACCAATGTAATGCTGGTAATTGGTCGTTCACCAATATTAAATATTTCACTTTGCATATAAAGGCCAAGCTGGAATTATTAGACCCTAGCTCCTGAATACGCCTAATCTATAAGCTGTAGTTTATGACAAGTTTTTTTTTCTTTGACAATTTTGATAAATTAGCCAGTGTCAAACAAAAGTTTGTTCTTATGTTTATTAGACTGATAAGAGGGCTAGAATGATTGCATTCCAAAACCACGACCCCAGGACCGTGATAAAAATACAAGATAATATTTCTAAGCTTTTTTAATACATAAATATAATACAAATACCATATAGTACATACATAAATAATATTTACAATATAATATAACATACTTTAATTTCATAATATGGTTACATCAATACAGAAAACATATATGGCAATCTGGGGAACAATAAAAACACTCTAGTATTTGATTGGCCAAGATATATAGACCCTTACTTCATATACAGGGCCATCAAGCTATTACAAACTGTGTCTAATACCTTGACTGCAAAAGCTATCTTTCTTGTATAATAGGACTTTGTATTGCGGTGATTTGATTGGATTTTATGTTAGCGAATACAGCCAATCAGAGCCCTGTGAACAGTATGGCTGTGCCTGGAATCAAAGTTAAGGTATAAGATGTAATAGCTTGACATTGTGAAGATGATACAAGGCAAATAATAAATAGCTTTACAAAGAGTATCTGTGCTTTAGATCATTAATTTTGATCCATTTAGTTTGGAATTTTTCATGGATTATCTCTGGTTGTTTCATTTCAACAATGTATCATAAGAGACCAGAACGTTGACTATATAAATACATTAGAATGAAGTTTATTGCACATTGCTTTAGAAGCCCTTTGAATAGATACACAGAAAGTTTGTCAACTGGGTTGGCTACAGTTGTAGTTTAACCAGGTTTTGTGAACTTGGTCAAATCTCTTGGCAATGATTTTACAAGGAAAACAACTTATATACTCAAAGATCCTGTCTGCCTGCTGGTCCCTAGTCAAACCTATTGGTATCCATTATTATCTGATCTGTACCCATTTGTGCAAATAACCAGATAGTCACTAGAGTGGATCCTTGACCAAACCTCTTGTAAATGTCACTCAATCAAGATACCTCCAATATACAATTGAACAAGTGAACAGTAGAATGATCCCAGGGCCAATCCTCTTGATCTTTAATGAGAAAGTAGCCACAAGAATAAGACCAGCAATGATCTTTCCCGGACTATCTTACCCGTCCAAACGCTTATTGACCAAACAATCTATTGGCAATTTACCACAGTGTCACTGAAGCACTTGTACAACATGATTAATAAAAGAATGTGAAGTCTATAGAGTGGATCCATGGCCTGTCCTCTTGGCAGGTAAACTCACGCTAGATACCTCCCAGGTACAACAGGATCACACAAGTAAATGAACAGTACAGTGATTCCTGTGCCAAAGTTCATGATCTTCAATAATCTTTCTATTTTTATCTGTACCCATATAATATGAATGTTCCATAGAGAGGTCAAAGCTCTTGATAGAATTAGCCAAGCGAGAAACCACCTGGTAAACTTAAAATATTTAGAATGTAGGTTTATATTTTTTGACCTCCACCATGACGTGATGTATATTGATTAGTTCGTTACGTATCTGCAAGTTTTTAAACGGACCCTGTGATAACACCTTCTGGAATCGATGATAGTATTGAATCAACTGGGTTAACGCCCCCTGAAATTATAACGACAAATTATTATCATTATAGTCAAAGCTAGCTGCCTTGATGAGGATTGTGTATCTGAAACATGTGTCTCCAGCAAGGTTTGTCAGTTATCTAGCCTCCATATCCAGACCTAGCTGCCTTGATGAGGATTGTATATCTGAAACATGTGTCTCCAGCAAGGTTTGTCAGTTATCTAGCCTCCATATCCAGACCTAGCTGTCCTTGATGAGGATTGTGTATCTGAAACATGTGTCTCCAGCAAGGTTTGTCAGTTATCTAGCCTCCATATCCAGACCTAGCTGTCCTGATGAGGATTGTGTATCTGAAACATGTGTCAGCAGCATAAGATGAGCTCCGATTCCAAAATCTTTGTCCTGATGAGGGTATGTTATCCGAAACAAAGATACTGAAGAAGTAGACTCCTCCATAATAAAATATATCATACCAACCTGTAATATCTGTGTACCATTTTTAAAATTAGTAAACGCTCTCATTACATCTTGGTTGATTAATTCTAACGCTCGTTTCCAATCACTGTTAAACCCTCGTACTATCATCTGTACACGTTCTAAAATAGATATAATACATTATATCAATAGCAGACTACAAAGCCTATAAAATTTCCCTTATTGCATACAGCACAGCACCGTACTATCAACTCTAAAATAGTTGTACTACATTAAAATAGCAGACAAATACAAAATTTCCCTCATTGCATACAGCACAGCAACCCAATATCATCATTCTGTACAAGCTCTAATATAAATATCATTACTAAAATAATAGAAGGCTATTTTCCCTCATGGCAAACAGCATGGCTTAGCTTATCTTTTAGTCTAATAAGGTACAGATCATAAAAGCCTGATTCAGGTACAGAATAGAAGGGTGTAAAACTACATTTCATTTCATTAGTCCAAAAAGGTATATGACAGTAGGGCGTAGAACTCTATTTTATTTCATTTGTCTAATAAAATGGAAGACAATAAGAAATAAACTCCATGGATGGATTGAGGTATTGTTTATACGGAGTACATCGCTTGATATAACAAAATAATTTGAAAAATAAAAACTTCTTACTTTCTTCCTTTTTTAAACTATCAACTTGTCCACGTTCTAAAATAACTTCACAATCTTTTACAAATGTTATCATTCCTCCAAAATGTGGTGACAATATCTCTTCTATATATTCCTGTGTTCTACCGTTTAATAAATCTTTAAATACTTCCGTCTCTCGCGAATCTTCGGCTGTTCTTTCCTGAAAGACAAACATACACTGACTGAGACAAATCGAACGCAAACATCCAGAAAACAAAATCACAAAGTCCAAAACAAATAGCAAATTATTAAGCATTAATAGACAAACAACATGTACTGTACCCACATAAAGATATTGAACTGAGGAGGAATTAATATCTGAAACACATGACTACAGTATAGGTCTATCAGTCTATGCATAATGTAAATTGAAACCAATGTGCGTATCTGAATCACAGGTATGAGAAGAGCTCTCCTCAAATAGAAACAATAAACTCTATAGGTGTATCAGCCTGTACATAATGTAAATGTAAATTGAAACCAATGTACATATCTGAAACAGGTATGAGAAGAGCTCTCCTCAAATAGAGATAATAAACATACCATCAGTACTCCCAGCATCATATCGTAATTGTTGATTAAAAATATCAGTTGTTCTTTTCTCTGGGGGAACTCCGCTGCCATCTTTAAAATAAAATTCTCCACTTCTGCTTGAAGTTGACCCAGTATTTTATCAACATGTTCATTGGGAAAAGACTGGTTAATACCGACTATAGCTGCCGAGAATTCAGCATAGCGTCTCGTTATCTGTAAAATATTTAAGAAATGAAATTCATTGATCACAAAAGGTTGTGGACTAACTTCTTGTTAGTACTTTATCATTTCATTCCGATTTGGTTTTGATTGGATCATTCCAAAGGAAAGGCAATCAGAGAGACTGGTTGATAGTGTCCAACACTCACTAAGTTATTAACATCCATGATTTCTCTCTTTTAAATATTGGCCCGTTAGCATCAATGAGATGTATGTATAATTATAAGGAATAAACATTTGTTCAGTTTATCGATGTACACTGTATAAATCTGTGTAGCTGTTTATATATAAGTGTACACAGCTTTTTTCTGTTTATACATCGATAAACTGAAAAAATGTTCAGGTTATTCCTTATAATTTAATCAACTCAAATACATGTTTAAATATTTATTTAACGCTACTGAACAAAATGATACTAACAAAAGAGACGCCCTACAGAACAGCCAATCAGCAATAAGTAGGTTACCCTATCAATAGTTCACTGCCTGAAAGTTGATGGAGCGGCCACGTTGAATGCACATGACCGCAGTTATCCAATCAAATTGCATGATACTGTGTAAACGGAATCGTGATTTAATTAACTTACATAATGAGGTCGTACATCTATTTGACCTAATTTAGACGGATCACAATCTCGTACACTCTGTATATTCAGGTTGATAATCTGTTCAAACTTCGGCCATAATATCTTCAACAACGCATCCCAATATCTGAATTATATACAGTACAGTTGACTAGAGACAATCATAGCAAAGAATTAAATAAAAGAAACAACCATTTTTTACAAGGATTTCAACTTAGATTCTTGTGGATCCTTGTGGTTCATGGCCAAAGGTTTTGTTATTGTTTTTACCGGATTATCTGTATGCCTTCACAGCTGGGTCAACTTGAATAATGAGGAAAGATTACTTACTGTCTGAGATTAGAACCCTTGGCCATCATTTGTTTGTTTTGTAACCCAGCAAATGACAGCATGTAAAGAACCAACGCTGTAACCCACCGTTAAAATTATGTTTTTCTTAAAAGAGCAATTTGTGTAAGGAACTAACCTACCTATCTAGACCACTAACATTACGTTTCTGTATAATAGATCTATATCTGAATATGATATGTATTGATAGAAATATAGCTATAGAATCATAGCAATCATGAACATACTCTTCCATTTGTTTCTGAAATACACAAAACAATTCATAGTAAAATCATTGGAGTTTACACTCGAAAGTTTTCTACATTATTGAGGTAATTAAAACTGTTAGAATATGTGATATATCAATAAATTAATAGTAAATTGATTAAGAGTTGACAGTATACATCAATATAGAGAGAATATATGAGCTCTGATAAACAATGAAAGTTTGAAATGAGATGTTGTTGATTATCAGTTGATTTATGCTCTAGGTTTAATTAAAGAAATGTTGCATTGGATTTTGAGAGTCAAAAGGACACTATTTGCTAATTTTCATATAAATTCCATTGACTAACAATTCCTGTTCCAATTAATTAGCTTAAAAAGAAAATTGGTGTACCCAAATTTTATTTCAATCCAATAATAAATTGAACCCTTCCTGAGCCCAGATGAATAAGATAACAAACATAAATCATAGGCCTTATGTTATTCATTCAACAAAACCCTGTCTAAAACCTACCATAAACATGGTGAGAGTTTTTCCCATGACGGAATCAAAGAGATTCTGAGCTGAGTTTCCTGTTACCATGAAGAAATCCACCAGAAATAAATATTCTCTACATGAATTATCCATCAGAGAGAAATGAAGACTTCGGAATAAACTTTCAAACGAATACTGAAACAATTTAAATATTGTTATTTATAGTCATGACATTTGTCTTCATCCAGTTCGATTTCAAAATAGAAACACAAGCAGAATACTCTATTATTTATTACTAGTAGCTGAAGTTTAAAGTTTCATTCCATCTAAAAATATACAGCTATTTTCTGAAACCTAATCAAATGATGACAAATGCACAATGTTATGGTTTTAAGAACTAAAACCCCAAATTCATTTAAAATTGTAAATATTAAAATATTTGTGCATAAATAGTGCAGTATGTTACCTCAATGAAGATATATCACAGAAAATCCCAACCATGCATATTAATCAATAAAACTTGAACCTTTGTTCTATATTTAGTCACATACCCAAAGTAATGAATTGTTCACAGTCAACTGATCTTAAGTTTAAAAACATTAGGGATTCTAAAGAGGTTTCTTGCCTTTGTATATGTGACCAAATTAGAATGTCTCAATCAGAAATTCTATTTAACTAAATAGATATTTGTGATGACAGTCATAATCTGGTAACGTGTTTTTGGAAATCTTTGGAATCACTACCAAAAAGAAGAATCCTTCAAGAAATCACATGTAAAGACTTGAAAATCTCTATTGTATGGATATAAAATATATAAAACATGAAATGCCCATGAGTAGCCTGGAGTAGAATGAGATTAAGAGACAGGGAGTGTCACTGCTAACCATGATCATCTTATTCATCTATATATTTGTGTTGTAATGTTACCCTGGGGTGTTTATTTATAAATACAATCAATATTAATTTTAGTTATCATTTTAAATCTTTTCATTTCGAGTATTATAATTTTCTTATCACAATACAAGTATACCTCAAATTATATTTATATATATATTATATATTCTTTATTGTAAATAAATAAACGTGACAAAGGCGTGTCTAGAAAAGAGACAAGGCCTCGAAATAATTCATGAAGCACCCATTGACCTTCCACATGCCCGAGGGAGGGGCCATGACCCAATCACCCACCTCCTAAAAACACCACTGAAAGCTGAAATAAAGAACCACACACAAACCCAACTGAGGCATTCAATAATTGGAACCTTGAAGATTATTTTAAATGTAGATTTAATCCACATTACAACAAGCTGTGAACATCCAAAAACCCAAACCCTTTCTCAAAAATCTTCCTATCAAATTTAATTTGATTTCATACTTTAATGTTAAATATATTGTACGATTTTTTTTTGAGAAACAGAGGCAAAACTTTCACACCATAACGATCACCAATATAAGAAAAGCAGTTATAAGTTTCGAACGCAACTCTCATGCAAATGAGTTGTGAGTTGCATTCGATACTCATGACCACTTTCATTATCAGCATTGCAACTGGTAATCACTATAATGTGAGAGAACCTTAAAGATAACAGTTTGTCACTAGTATGATATTTGTATTGTCCAATAAAATTGTTATCGTAAAACTTTTTTGAGAAATGACAGACAAGACCCAACCCAGTGATTCTATTAAACCTTATGAGGATAACCAGGTTCAGGTTTAGTATCATCTGCCTCAGGTTTAGTTGATACTTGAAGGTTAGGTGAAGGTTTGATGCCATATATAACATTATGAGCCAATGTTTTCCAATCTCTCTGTAATAAATTTTCATAGTTTATACAAGTCTTCTTGTTATCAGGCATAACTTTAATCACCCATATTTTATAAAGATAACAGTTCTTAAGAATTCTTCAAGAGGTTTCATAAATTTTTTTATATGCATCAGGGACACTGATAGCATCAATTTTTATGACATCACTAATCGCAATATATGCTGTATCACATAAGAACCTCTCGATTAGTGACGTTTGGTTTTAGTAGAATTGCAGGAACCACAGACATCTGATTAAAAATTGGAATGGTGCAAATTGATGTTATCAGTATCCACGATGCATATAAAAAATTCTGTAATAAATATTCACAATGTTTGTCAATTTTATAAAGTTTTTCTGTCATCAGCTGTATATTTATATATCAATCCAGGAAAACAGGTTAAAGAACTTCTCTTAGGTGGTATATATCAATATCCATACCAATTTCATAGTTGGTTTAAAAACAATAACGAGGAAAGAATTACTCTAGGTCTCCAGAACTAGGTAGTAAAGTTTACAGTCTGTGTTTAAAATAAGCCCCATTATGAATACAAAGAAGCGCCTGTTGTTCACTTAATTCAAATAGCTTCATATGAGGCAGTGAACTTAACCCAATCCAAGCCACTCTCTTCGGCAAGAGAGATTTTCATGTACTGATATAATATTCACAAGTTTCATGTTTATCTTCCTTCATATTCATAAAAACTATATGTTAAGGTGTGTTAATAAAAGGTTTAACTACTAAAGTGAAACATGGTAAAATGAATTAATACTCTTTGGTGCTTAGTAATGGCTATTTAACTAGTAATTAACAGAATCTTACCCTGGAATCATTTTTTTGAGCAGCATGAGGAACTATAACTGGAGCTTCTAGTTCAGTAGACAATACTTCTCCTCTATTTCCTAATGTGAACACTGTAGATCTGTTCTTTAATGTGGGCTTCGTCGAGAAAAAACGTTAAAAAGTTAAGGAAAAACAGTTGAGAAGATCATCTATATAAAGTTATCAATACAGCTAGTTTTAAAATGGAGGTTAACTTTCCAATATAGGACTCTAACCATATGTTTCTAAAAAAAACTTTAATTTCAATCATTAATTTGTACTGGATTCAATATAAATCATTAGTTAAATTCTACCTATCTTTTTAAACCCTAAAAAACTATTTCTATCACAGGTATAACTTTAGGTGAAAGGGGTTGAAAGTAGGCACATGATCAAGAATTTAATTTGATACTCCATTTTCCTGGCAGACGACAATCCAATTCTCTACTGACTAGGCTATTCTACTGTCCTAGCAGACGACAATCCAATTCTCTACTGACTGGGCTATTCCACTTTCCTAGCAGATGACAATCCAACTCTCTACCAACTGAGCTGTTCCAATGTTCTAGCAGACAACAATCCAACTCTCTCCCAACTGAGCTATTCCACTGTCCTAGCAGACAACAATCCAACTCTCTACCAACTGAGCTGTTCCACTGTCCTAGCAGACGACAATCCAACTCTCTACCAACTAAGCTGTTCCACTGTCCAAGCAGACTACAATCCAACTCTCTACCAACTGAGCTGTTCCTCTGTCCTAGCAGACAACAATCCAACTCTCTACCAACTGAGCTATTCCACTGTCCTAGCAGACAACAATCCAACTCTCTACCAACTGAGCTGTTCCACTGTCCTAGCAGACGAAAATCCAACTCTCTACCAACTAAGCTGTTCCACTGTCCAAGAAGACGACAAACCAACTCTCTCCCAACTGAGCTATTCCACTGTCCTAGCAGACAACAATCCAACTCTCTACCAACTAAGCTGTTCCTCTGTCCTAGCAGACGACAGTCCAACTCTCTACCAACTGAGCTGTTCCAATGTCCTAGCAGACGACAATCCAACTCTCTACCTTCTGAGCTATTCCACTGTCCTAGCAGACAACAATCCAACTCTCTACCAACTGAACTGTTCCACTGTCCAAGCAGACAACAATCCAACTCTCTACCAACTAAGCTGTTCCTCTGTCCTAGCAGACAACAATCCAACTCTCTACCAACTGAGCTGTTCCTCTGTCCAAGCAGACAACAATCCAACTCTCTACCAACTGAGCTGTTCCACTGTCCAAGCAGACAACAATCCAACTCTCTACCAACTGAGCTGTTCCACTGTCCAAGCAGACAACAATCCAACTCTCTACCTTCTGAGCTGTTCCACTGTCCAAGCAGACAACAATCCAACTCTCTACCTTCTGAGCCATTCCACTGTCCTAGCAGACAACAATCCAACTCTCTACCAACTAAGCTGTTCCTCTGTCCTAGCAGACAACAATCCAACTCTCTACCAACTGAGCTATTCCACTGTACTAGCAGACGACAATCCAACTCTCTATCAACTAAGCTGTTCCTCTGTCCTAGCAGACGACAATCCAACTCTCTACCAACTGAGCTATTCCACTGTCCTAGCAGACGACAATCCAACTCTCTACCAACTGAGCTGTTCCACTGTCCAAGCAGACAACAATCCAACTCTCTACCAAACTGAACTGTTCCACTGTCCAAGCAGACGATAATATAAAGTGCTACTGAATGAACTATCTACTGTGAATGAACTAACTGAATGAATTATGTATGTGTAATAAAAAGGATATTTTTCTTGGCGTTATCTTCGTATCCCATCAGATCATCTTTAGCTGCCACCTCCTCAAACTGTAGCTTCATCAGTCGACTCGTATAACTTTTAAAATACGAGTAATAGATCTTACTCATTGTATCAATATACTCATCTCGAATTTCTTTAGATATATGTCTTTCATTACTCATTAAAAACTCATTAAAAAACCTGAAATCAGATAGAGATATTTCTCCTGATTACTGATTAAAAACTCATTAAAAAACCTGAAATCAGATAGAGATATTTCTCCTGATTACTGATTAAAAACTCATTAAAAACCTGAAATCAGATAGAGATATTTCTCCTGATTACTGATTAAAAACTCATTAAAAAACCTGAAATCAGATAGAGATATTTCTCCTGATTACTGATTAAAAACTCATTAAAAAACCTGAAATCAGATAGAGATATTTCTCCTGATTACTGATTAAAAACTCATTAAAAACCTGAAATCAGATAGAGATATTTCTCCTGATTACTGATTAAAAACTCATTAAAAAACCTGAAATCAGATAGAGATATTTCTCCTGATTACTGATTAAAAACTCATTAAAAAACCTGAAATCAGATTGAGATATTTCTCCTGATTACTGATTAAAAACTCATTAAAAAACCTGAAATCAGATTGAGATATTTCTCCTGATTACTGATTAAAAACTCATTAAAAAACCTGAAATCAGATAGAGATATTTCTCCTGATTACTGATTAAAAACTCATTAAAAACCTGAAATCAGATAGAGATATTTCTCCTGATTACTGATTAAAAACTCATTAAAAAACCTGAAATCAGATTGAGATATTTCTCCTGATTACTAGTTAAGGAGTCCAGGGAAGGCAACATACACCCACAATAACAGTTCTACTGAACGAGTCGTGTTATATTCAAGTAAAGAGCCTTATAAGAAATTAGAATGTTTGAGTTTACATGTTGAATCTTACCAGTATGTACCTATTTCTATCATTGTTTAATTATTCTCTAACTACAACTCTTGTTCACCCAAAACTCTTAATTCAGACATTTTGAAATATATTGTGGTGTGAATGAACGCACAAATCTAAACAAAACTTCCTAAATATGGACGAATCAACTAGAATCAATCATCATCTTGAATGCACGCTGTATTTGTATTCAGTTGTAATCAAGTTTTCATGAATTAACCTTGTATTTTCTTCCTGAAGGCATACAACCCTCCGTGGCGATAATTTAGCCTCATGCCAAGAACCTCAAAGCATCACAATATTATGATGTCCATGTGCCCCATATTTTAGCACAACACAGTTTTCCCCCACATATAATTCAGTGAGTATAAGTTATATAACATGGTGAATCATGTGATTATGCTCATGTTGCCCTCACCCCTCATCTATCTACAAGCTGAGACTTGTGACCCACACACTGTGACCTCAATCATGTGATCCACTAACATAAAACAAGAATAGTTGAGCCATATTGTACTGTAAACTATGTATGATTCTTACATGGAAATAACACACACGAACGTAGTTCTGTGTTCCACAACTCTCAAATATTTATATCCCTGTAATTACTATTCTTTTGCTACAATAGTCTCTATAGTCATACATATTTGCAAGTACAGATTTGTAGGCTTTTTTAAAATTATGTGTAGTGTTGTTATGCACCTACAGTCTACAATACCGTATTTCAAAAAATTATGTCCCCTTGTTGAAAAACTGATGAAATTGTAATATTTGTTGTATCCACGTCTATGTTTATGGTGGCTCCCTTGTTTTGGTGTAATGATCTGATCTTAAGTTTCCCTTCCATGTTTGAATGTTTATATTTTTGTAATGTTATGATGTTCTCTAGTACTTATCAAGTGAGAGTCCACAATGCTATCAGTATTTTTATTTAGAATATGAATTTCTCAGTAACTCTAAGAGTACTCAGATATTAATGGTGTAAATCTTATTGTAATTTATGTGTGATTTTGAAGCAGGGGAATCATTCTGGGCTATCCCCACCCCCAGAAAATACGATATCCTTGATAGAGACTTGATTAGTAAACAGGAGGGCATGTTATCCCAAACTCAAAGCTTGACTATTTGTTAATCTCTAAGGACTTACAATAGTTACAAAACAAGACCAAGACAAAATATTTTATTCTAATCATGATACAATGATACGTTGGGAAGAATTCATCACCCTCCACTTAGAAACAAAACTTCGAAGATAATTGTAAAAATGTGCAGTACCAGCCAACAACATAATTTCAATATCCACATTCCAGTTCAACTCCAATTCTATTAAAATATATCACAGAAGTTAAAACAGTCCTGACATCCTGACTGTATTTAATTATTTTGTGGAGATTTCCAGTATTATGATAATAGCACACTAGAACCCACCTTGATAATAACATCCTTCATTCCGGACAGACGTCGTCAATTCACAAGAAAAACAGCTACATATACATTTAAATCATATCACACATTATCCATTAATGACGACATGTCAGGTCAGGTCAGGACGCAGAGAGGTCAGCCATTCACTAGAAATTAATATATTTTATTATAGCTTGTAGACAAACTTCATTTGGTGTATTGAAATCAGAATTGCATCATATATCACTTCCACCATTCTGTATTCTTTTCAAGCAGGAAAGGTATTTGATTGTAGACAAACTTCATTCGATCTGTATTGAAATATGATTTGCTGTTATATCACATCATATCAAACATTTTGTTTTTTCTTTTCAAGTAGGAAAGGTATTTGATTGTAGACAAACTTCATTCAATCTGTATTGAAATATGATTGGCTGTTATATCATATATCAACCATTTTGTTTTTTTCTTTTCAAATACGAAAGGTATTTGATTGTAGACAAACTTCATTCGATCTGTATTGAAATATGATTGGCTGTTATATCACATCATATCAACCATTTTGTTTTTTCTTTTCAAATACGAAAGGTATTTGATTGTAGACAAACTTCATTCGATCTATATTGAAATATGATTGGCTGTTATATCACATCATATCAACCATTTTGTTTTTTCTTTTCAAGAAGATAATATATTTGACTGTAGAATAAACACAAATTAAACATGTAAGATCTGATTTGAAATAAACCCGACTGTTTAATCACATCATACTGTATATCTTTACACCAATTCTATCATTATTTTCTTTCCAAGAAGGCAAGGTATTTGATTGTAGACATTCTACATCTCTTGTTTCTGTCTTCATTAGCCCATCTTCATTAGACCAAGCCGATAGTAGGGTGTAAAACTCAATAGTAGACGTACTTCATCTCTTGATTTCCTCGTTTCCGTCTTCATTAGCCCATCTTCATTAGACCAAGCCGATAGTAGGGTGTAAAACTCCATTCCATTCATATCAGATCTTTTCTTCAACCTGTAATTATAGTAAACAAACAAATTAAAAACCAGAACAAACTAAATTTCAACAGGACCATGTTATGTGAATCCTCTATGAAGTTTCTATAATTCTACCTGTAAGAAGATTGGGACTATGTTTTTGATTAAATTGCAAACTTATATTTTTCTTAAATGTCTCATGTCTGATATTGAAAGTTCACTCCCATTTCTAAATTGGCTGTCCTGATGAGGATTGTTTATCCCAAACCATGTTTCATCAGTGACACTAAGATTTCAAAAATATAAGATGAAAATTACACAAACTGTTTCACAATTGAGCTTAAGCTTGATAACAAGTAATTATTATTATTTTGTTACGTATTAAATTTAAATTAATTCTAACAAAGCCCTGAATTTCATTAAATTTGAGTTTTATTACAAAATCTATTATGATAGACATGTTGGTCGGTCTGAACAAGTCAAACTTCAGATTCTACAGAGTTAATAGTTGATCTAATATTCAATGTTACATTTAGTTTTTAAAAAATACAGATACAGGAACTGTAAATATATGTCACCTGTTTGTCAACGTCTCATTTTATCATTATAATATTGGAATTAGTTTTTTTTTTAGTTATATCATTTGAATTTGAATTTGTTTAAATCATAAATCAAACAAGTTATTAAATATTACTATCTAGAATTTTAAATTTCAAAAGTTCACTAAGAGGAATATATTTGTTATTGTTATATTTCAGTTGTTAAAATCAAAAACTATAACTTGATATTTAATATAACCTCTAATAATAATAGAAATAAAATTTATATTTTAATGAGGATAAAAATAATAATGGGAAAAATAAAAATATAAAAAATAAAAAGGAATTGTGAATGATATCTCAGGTAGAATATAGCACCTTGTTTTCAACTCTGGTATATCTACCGTCTGATAAAATACACAGGGACAAACTTAACTCAAAATGATTCTAAATATAGCCTATTTATCTTGTTATTAAAATAATGAAATTTAAATGAAAATAATAAAAATAATAATAATGGGGGATAAAAATAATACAGAAAATAAAAAAGTGTATAGTATCTCAGGTAGAATATAGCCCCCGTCCTCAACCATACAGCTTGGCTTTCGCTAAGATTAGACACTGGAATATCTACCGTCTGATAAAATACACAGGGACAAACCTAACCATGACACTCCAGTCTTGATTTGAACCCTCTCAAGGAATTGATAAAATGAATAGTCAGATTTATATTCCAATATTTGCCGTAGGACTCATGACACTCCTTCGAGGATCATGCAGCAAAGTGGTCCCCTCACCTACTACATAACCACTTCCAGAGTGCCCACGCTGACCGACCATCCAATTTTGTTATTCTAATCTTTGCCGTAGGACTCATGACACTCCTTCGAGGATCATGCAGCAAAGTGGTCCCCTCACCTACCACATGACCACTTCCAGAGTGCCCACGCTGACCGACCATCCAATTTAGTAAGTGGCAATGCCCAATTCATCCCTACTTTAAGAGGGGGGTTTCCTAAAATAAGACTTTACAATAAGTGTCGTTACCTACAATTTCGACAACTCCCCTTATCCTAAAGAAGTTGATTTTACACAGAAAACTTCCTGAAGACTTTTGAAATACACACAAACTTGAAGTTGATTTCATGTTCAGTGACTAAAACATTGTTCACATGAAATCAACCTTTATAAATCTGATGAACTTTAAAGAAATGCCAAATTTATGTTATAATTTAGTTTTAAATTGGAAAACATCCTGATTTTATCTTGAAAGATGACAGTCAGTAAAAATTAGAATTATCTTTGACATTTC